AAGAGGATTCGTCGGAGAGAGGAGACACGGGCCCGAGACGGAGCTTTGTCAGAGAGAGGAGACACAGGTCAGAGACGGAGCATCGTCGGAGAGAGGAGACATGAGTCAGACGGAGCTTCTTGGAGAGAGGAGACACGGTCAGAGGGAATCTACAAGCTGTGAGACTCTACAGCTACAACACAGTGACCGCTGGAGAGAGACCGGATTTCACCGGAGAGAGGCCGGAGAGAGAGAGCACCATATATTCTGGTTTGTCTGCTTCGTTTGTCAAGTAAACGGAGAAAACAAAGAGTCAAGGTTTTAAAAAAAAAAATTAATAAAGAGAACAGAAAAATGAAATTATTTATATAGGGTTAACTTCGTAATTATTGTATCAAAGGTATATTGAGACAAAAAAATGTATAAAGGTATAATGTGACAAATCGTTGCTCATGGTGGCCCGATTAGCCAATTTTCTCTATTTTTAATTATTGGCACAAACAACCGTTAAGCCATCTCTAGTGAGACACCAAAAATCAAATTTGGTATAGTTTCATTTCTAGCAAAACATCAAAATTGACATCATCCCACCAAATGTTGCAATACTATCCATTCCACTAAATCTTTAAAATATATATTTCATTTAGTAATATAGTTCAGTTACTATCACTAACTATTTCAAAATTGTAACAAAATATAAATATATTGTATTTTTTCTGGATGATGACAAAAAAAAATGGTATTATATTTTGTTTGAAATTTATTTTCACTAATTTTAAAAAATATATACTATTATTTTATTTTAAAAATACAATTGACTGTTATCATATGTTTGATTGTTATTATTTTATTTTATTTTAAAAATACAATTGACTGTTATCATATTATTATTTTATTTTAAAAATACAATTGACTGTTATCATTATTTTAAAAATGGTATTATATTTTGTTTGAAATTTATTTTCACTAATTTTAATAAATCACTTTATGACTGTTATCATATATCACTTACAAATAATAAAAATATAAATAATAATGAAAATGTAATAAAATAATGATTTATCAGTTACAAATTTAAAATTAAAAATTTAAAACTGAAAACATGAAATAATATATAATATTACTTTTGGTTTTTGGAGTACAATTTGTTATTGTAATTGGAGATGACAAAAAAAATTGGACACTAAAACACTCAACACAAATTCCGTTATGGTTGGAGTCTGGAAATGCTTTAGTTCGATATTTATCTAAATAGAACATAAAATAAAAAGACCACAGTATAAAATAAAATTTCAAAATCCTTTATATACTAAAAAACAAGTCACTCGATCAATCCTGTATTGACATGTGGTTTGTGCTTCAAAATTAATTTGAAAAAAATAAATACATCACTAAAACAGTTTTTTTTTTCTAGATTATTTTTCTCTAAAGACACGATAATCACATTTCAGGGCCGTCTTTTTGCATGGGCAAGTGGAGCGATCGAACAGGGCCCGAAATTTTAGAGGGTCCATAATTTTTTTTTGTAATAATTATCAATATAAAATAATATATTTGTAAAAGATATTCAGATATCTATATTTAAATTTCATTTTCGTATTTATTAACCAAAAAAGATATATATAATTACAAATTTGATTTAGTTTACATAATCAACAAAAAATGCAATAATTTAGGAAGTAATTAGCATTTATATCAATTATATATTTTGGTAAGTAAAAAATAGCTGTTAGTTTTTGCTTTAATATTCAATGTAAGTTTAGAAAGTTCATATTCTAATTGATTATGTTTAGGAAACTATTATAAATTAGTGATTATATATAAGGAGAGAAATACATTACTTCTTCATCAACTTTTACAAAAAAAAAATTAGCAAAGGAGAGCACTAGTCCACAACTTTTACTGTTTCCAACGAGAAGAAAAGAAAAGTACAGCTTGCAAATCAAGGAGTCCATAACTTTTTTCTTAACCATTATCCAGGTTCTATTGTTCAATTATTTTATAGATTATGGCTTCTGATTGTGGATACAAAAACGTCAAAAGAAAGACATTGTTTAGATTGCAAAAAATTTAGATTAATGTTATTATTTTATATTATGACAAAAGTTTTTGAGAAAAATATATAAATTATTTTTAGATTATTAAAAAGAATTTTTTTTTTTTTTTGAACAGGGTCTCTATAAAGTTTGAGACGGTCCTGCACATTTTCACTTCTTCTCAAACCACGATCTCCATCACTTTCAGATAAACTGTTTTTTTTTTGTCTGTTATAGAATAATTTCAGTCATTAGTATATTTCTTTAAGAGCTTCACTAAAAGTTAAAACATCTCTTTTCCAGTTGCTCAACGAAACAAAACAAGTGATCCTTCATCTCTCATAAATTTTCAGTTTTTCTCTTGATATGTTTCTTCATATCTTCTTTCTTTTTCTTATCAATTCAAAATTTTATCATTTCATTTTCTATGAAAAAATCAAAGCTAACTGTGAAGAAGCATCAAGCTGATTTGGAAGAAGCATCACGAAATGGTTTACGAAGGTAAGAACATCATTACTGGTTAGTTTCTGAAGTAAGGTACCTTACTACTATTTTATTAGTTTTTAAACATAAGTTAATTACACAATTAAAAATTAAAGTAGAAAATAGAAGTGTACCAATAGGAACAAGACTCATGTATTGCTAGTCTCTCAAACTGTTTAAAAGTCTCTTTACAAAGGGACGATTCTCCCTTTATTCTCTCCTTGTCTCCCACTATATATTATTAGATTAGTTTTACAACAGAGAGACTTGTGGGAAAAACACCCGCTGCGGGTGCTCTAAGATGCAAAACTTTTGACCAATTAGAATTTCAGGTGAAAATAATTTTATTTAGTTTGTAGTCTTTAGAAAAATACCAGGGCCTTAAATCTTTAATCCTTTAATGGTTGTTTGACCATCAAGTAGTAGAAGTGTCTTAGGTTATTAGCCAAAATCATGTATTAACTCAAAAGCTTTTTTTTAGAATTTTTTGTAATTAATTTTGGAAATTTTCAAGTTTTTCATTAGTTTTAATGACTATCTAAAAACATGAAATGTGTGTCGATAAGACAATAATTTTCTTCAAAACGTTCAATAATAATTAAAGAAAACATTTAATAAAAAAAGAAATTTGTGAGTTCTAATCCTAAAACTCCAACAAGCTATAAAATAAGTAATTTAGGTTAATGTTGGTTGACCGTGTGCTTTTAAAAAAAATAGAGACTTTCCTGGGCTACACCCATTTTTTTTTGTAAATTATTAGTTGTTTTAAGATATTAAGTTATTTCTAATGGACTATGTAATTTATATATATTTAAAACAGTGACAAACAAAATTATTAAAAGAAAATTTTAATTATTCAAATGTAAGACGTAAGCAATAATAAAAGCGCACATATTACATTATTCAAAACTAGGGGACACCCGCGCTTCGCGCAGGATTTGATATTGTGTGATCAGTAAAATAGAAATTTGTTTGTAAGTGTATTGGATCGTATTGTCATTCGGGGGAGAATATGGGTTTTCGTGATTATTTTGTGATCAGTAAAATAGAAATTTGTTTGTAAGTGTATGGGATCGTATAGTCATTTGGTTTTTTGGACCCGTATATTGCATGATTCTTTAGGGATGTATTTTGCCTGATTCTTTAAGGATTAATGCAATTTCATATGTCCGCGGGGGAGAATGTGGGTTTTCGTCATTTTTTTTTGTGTGTGTGCTAGAAGGGAATGCAAGTTTTATAAGATAACAAATGTGTTATTAGGATTCAGCCTAATTAAACTATATTTTTATAGCATAAATTATATTACTAAATAGAACAAAATTTAAATTTCTTCTAATAATGAATTCTTGATAAAGAATTGACGCTCTTACTTCTCTCACTTGAATTTTTTAGAAAGAGGGAATTATCTTCTTTTATTTATTGGATGAAGTAGTTCTCAGCCGGAAACTTTTCTGATTTTAAGATGTGTTCTAATTTTTGTTATATTTAGTTAGTTTGACGTTAGATATATGCTTATATATATTATGATGTGTTTTAACTCTCTTTTTTTTTATGTATAACATGTTATGAGACCATATTATTTTAAATTAGTATTATATTTTTGTTGTGGTTTTTCAGTTTGATGAAAACAACTTTATTGCCTTTGACCAATATTTCTTTATTTCTATTTGATCTTATTTGTATTTTCAATGGTTTTACTTCAGTATATTATGTTTATTTTTCACAGTGTGTATTTATGAAGATTTCTACATCATATAACTTTTTTGTTTTCGACTTTATCTATTTTTATTCTTTGAAGAAATAAATTAATCTTTTCTGCCATTCAATTGGATATAATTTGTAAGTTATTCTATAGCACTAATTTATATTTATAATAAATTTTAATTATTAATAGTCTTAGAATCACCAAAATATAGAAATACTTACAGCTTTTGTGTGTTGTTAAAATATAGTTAAGATATGATATATATTTGTAACTTACTTTTGGTTATAATTTTTTTTATCAACTTTTATTTATATTTAAAATCATATATTTGAATGTGTAACTGTAACTATGAAATATAGTCAAGGCATGTTTCTACTTAAACGTAACTGTTTTGAGCATTTGCCAAAGAAGCAAAAGTTGTTGTGACAAAGAAAAAACAATTACAACATATAGTTGGGAGCAGTGAGTGGTGACCCATTAAACGTGAGACCCATCTAAATTCTTTTGACACAACCAAAGCTGGACCATTATTATAGTCAACTAATTATGAAACAATGCCAAAACCGAGATGTTACATGTAACGGACAGAGACAGCAAAAGCACTTACAGATAGTTGGAGATAACTGCGATCAACAGCTCCACAGATACATTACAGTTACGAAGATGGGTTTAGAACAATTATATTTACTTTACACCTCCACAGATACATGATACAGAAAAATCACTATTTTATTTGATATGGATGTGAAAACATCGAAAGCACTTATCAAAAGAAGGAATAAAACCATTTTGCATCTCTACTTTGTGTTGGTTTGAACCAGAGCATCAAGAACACTTTTCCATCCTCCAAAATCTAAGGGAGAACCAGCATCGGGCAATATAAACCCATTAACGTAGAAAGTTGATATTCTATAAACCCCTCTTGAAGTGCTATACTGCAACAACATAACCCTAAGAAACCAAAACATAAGATAAAATTTACTATTGCTTCCATATCAGGTAACAATATGAATGGCTATGGTTACTCATATGGTGGACGGTTCAAGTAGGAGACTACTGAGATTTAATTTCTCTACTGAATTTTACACGTTGACCATTTGAACTATCAAGTATTATATTTTTTCAAGAATCTGAACTTATCAACAACGATCAAAAACTTACTTGATAGGTTCAAATTCAGGCCACTAAATATATGTATTCGTCAACTGATCCGTTTTCAATTTGTGTTCTTAATACTCCATTGCTAGGTGTTAAGAAAAAAAAACAATTCAAAGATGAAAATTGAAGGTATCACCTTGAAAAAAACTCTGCTTGCACGGTCAAATTTCGTTGAAGAAGGATTGGAGAGCATGTTGGTATGAGTTCCCAACGTGATTGTCCCAAGCTTGACATTTTTCTCCACAACTCCAACTCTTGACAGGGGTTGTGTTTGCGTGTTGTAGAACAATGCCTATCAAGAAATAGTTTCAGTGAAACCACATAAATGTATCAAACTCATCATTGCATAGATGCATACAACCAACATCAGTTACGATGAACAAACCTGATGCTCAAAGAACCCTTCCAGCAAACTGAAGGTAGCATATGCGTCTCAAGAATTCACAACCTGTAAACCAGAAGAGCTTCATATGCATTATCATGGCACCTGCAAAATCTAAAAGTCGAAATAGATTCCATAGGAGTATGAATATGTGAACAGAACCTAAAGGGAATCTTTCACAATTTCATGTAAACAAACATTATAACAATAAATAAACTCAAGATACTTGTCTATTAATCACGAATCTGTGATGCGTCAATCCATACAAGAAACAGAGTACTGCAATGGTATGTGCTTGCTTCAGTCCATGAGAACTGTGACGTCATCGTCGAACTATTCTAACCAAAGCTACGAACTGTTTGCTAATTCCAGAAACTTAATGCAAAACGGGAAAAGGAGAAGAGAAAAAGAGTACTGACGGTACTGCCCTTACCACTCTCGATTCACCATGCCGTTGAGCCAAGAAAGAACCGCCATCTTCACTGCCACCGTTTTTAAACCAAGCAAGAATTGCCGAACGGTGAGATGCTCCAAAGATCTGTCCGACAGTGGACAGAGTAAGAACTGGAGGAGTCCGTGGTTATTGCTCTGGTTATGTCTCCTCTAAATTACCATCACTAAAACGATTGAACAGGTAAACAGAGAGAGAGATTCCTTGCTTCCCAAAATCATTTAAGAAACAAATAACCTTAGAATGGAGGGGAGTATGTGTTGATGAAAGAAGGCTGACTTTTTATAGGTGTTATCCTAGAAGATCAAACACGCGATCGAAACCCCATCAAATAGATTTAACGTCGACTCCAGCACACAAACTTTTAAACGGCAGAGAACGAAGAATGTGTTGATCCCTAATTTCAATGGAAAGTGGGTTGGCCTAGTGTTGTTTGATAGCAGGCTGGGTCTATTGAGTATGGATGAAGCCCAAACACTAAATGAAGCCCGTATCAATTAGAACACAGATTAATGAAATACATGTGTCAATCTGTAGTAACACTATTTGATGACTTGGCACAACATGAGGGAAGCGAACTGTATTTTATATAATAAGATATTATTACAGCAGAAAAAAATCTGGTTTAAACTCAAAATCACTTTAAATTTTGATTTCTTAACTATTCATTCCCTCTATCTTCTGGATTTGTATTACTTAATTAGTGGCTAACATTTTTTAAGTTTTAGCAATAAAACTAATCTTTCTAGAAGTATGTATGAAAAAAAAAATGTTGATAAAAATTTCAATTTTAAAAAGGTTGGACATAAAAATTATTTTTGTAAATACATTGATAAAAGGTTAACAGTTAATTGTTTAGTTTTCATAGCAAAGTTTATTAATTTCATTATGCAATTCATTTTCTATTGGTTAAAATATGATATGTGTATAGGTAAATATATTTTTATATAGAAAATATAAAAACTAATTGTGTTCTTTAATCTGTGTGCACAAATCTAAAATGATACTTATAATGAAATAGTGGAAGTATTATCTTTCTTTGTGTTTTTCTATGTTAAATATTATATTTATTAAGTTATTTTTCAGGAAATTTGTAGTTTTCATGAGTTTTTTTTCAGCATTGACGTTCAACAATTTTATTTTTCTACAAACAGTTGGGTTTATGTGGTCGATGGTAACGGCACCCTAAATAATGTGTGCAGAAAGATTATTTAGTTAAGCAAGGGATATAAGTATATATTACATGGAAGACACTGATATTAACTTTCTTAGAAGACGCAGCACCTTTGTTTCCTGAGCTGAAGTTATCATGTATCTTATGCAGTGGTGCTCCAACAGCACCACATACGATCCTCCTCCTGAAATTTGAAAGATATTCAAATCAATTTAATTATATGAAGAAGAATAATGCAAACGGATAAAGTAGGAAGGTATTAGCTTAGGAAAGGAAACGCATGATAGGCACAACTTCTATAGTATTGTCCAGGGACCATGAGAAATTAAAGAAGAAAAAGTAACATGAGAATCCCTATCCAAAAACAATTAAGCGCTAGACTAAAGAAAATTGGTTGAGAATCCAAATTGTACAATTCAAAATTTAAGTAACATATCACTATAACTAAATTTAACATAAATTTTCAAGACTACACTCCAAGTTAATTCTCTTTTTTTATTAGGATATTTGTTATCAAAGAAAATATGTACTTTCACACGAATAAGTTGAATCCAAAAATTGACTAAAATACAATTGTTTTCTAAAACCAGTTTATGAGAGCACATTACAAATGAAAAACAAAACACAAACCAAATATTAAAAAAAAAAAAAACTTTTAAGTGAAGACGACCACCCAAAACTTGATATATAATATAACTAAACCATGACTCTCCAAATTAAGCAAGGTTTCTTGGCCGGAGAAAGATTTCAGATTGCTACTTACACTCCTGTTAAGAAATATCTTGTTTACACAAAATTGTAGAAACTTAAAATCAAGTAATAAACAATTTTAATATTTTAAATGCGTATTACATAGTCTTCAGAGCAAATTTAGATTAAGAGTATGAACACTCATTTCACTTTATTTTTAGAAAAAATAAACACTAATTCACAAACACAAAGATATGAGGTTAGGCTTTTAGGATATGAAATGTGCACATGTATCTAGAAAGGAAGCATCAAGGTTTTGATATGTAAGGACGGTTCTCTTTTGATTGAGGATCGACCTCAGGTGAGAGATTTTTACCATGAAGTCGATCGCGGATCTTTGGGTACATCAAACATATGTGACGGGTCTCCTCCACCACACTACTTTGTGATGCGATCCTTGATCTTAATCTTCTCAAACATATACTGCTTCTCTGCCTCAGTTGGTCAACCTCTGTTTCAGATAGTTACTTGTGCATTCCTCCTCAAACTTGTCCATTTCTGTAGTACAATCTCTCAGCCTCCCGTTATTCTTCGTTAGCTTTTAGCTGGAACATGTGTGCCTCTGTTAGCTTCAGCTTCACGATGCTCTCTAGCTCGTCAATATTAAGTTTTTTCTTATGCCTGAAAAATACGTACAACATTTCTTTCTTTTGTACGCTTGTTCACTGAAAAATAAGATAGATCAGATTTAAAAAAAGTATCAGATTAATAATATACATTGTATAATCAAGGCTCCTATTAATACAAAGAGTTCTCAGACATGTAACCATCACAATAAAATAAGGCACTTGGTTTCCGTAAAAGAATGAGTGAAACATTCTTTAAATAATGCAAGCAAAACCTTATTGCTTGTTGGTGCCCAGGAAGGAGTTTTGCATTTGTAGAAGAAGCTCTTGACCCATCGATCTTACTTGTGGTGTTTTCCATCGATCTTACTTATGGTGGACACCAATCCCTTTGCCGTTGATGCAATCGCAGCCACAAGCGATCTCCGCATCCAGTTCAGCATTATACAAAGATCCTAGGCTGTCTCATATCCTCGTACTTCAAGTCCAATATTCCCGTGATGAAATCTCTTACACCTTCCGCTCATCTGAATTCAATATGTGTGAGGGAGAAAAGTTTCAATAACTCAGAAAGAATAAAGGATCTCAAGTGTAATCACACTCACCAGAGAAATTTATAGAACCTCCACCACATACAGACTCACCCTTAGCCTTTGGTTAATCGATCTGAGGTGAGAAATAATCTAGTGCTTGTTCATCCTCTGAAACATTACACTCAAACAAACTTAATCAACCAAAGTTACACCTAAAACCAACAAAATAGAGAAAGTGTTAGCAACGAAGAACTCACCCAGACTTGCGCTTCTCTCTTGTTATGCACAAGTGGGTATAACTTTTTGAGAAGGAAATGAAGCTATTGGCAGAGAATAGGAAAGTGAACATAACGTTATATATAGATGGGACCATGTACGCACCTGAAACATGGTAGATGACCACATCCGCAATTGCAATCCAAAAGAAGCATCAAAGAAACAAATATTAACAGGAAAATGGATCAGACTATGCTCAAGACCCAGTAAAAAAACAAAGCCGTAAGATTTGAATACCCAATCAGATGGAGAATCAAACACCAATATCATATGGGCCTTACTTTTATTTCTGTGTCTACCGAGTGTTTAGGCTTTTGAACTTGTTCACACTGTTTTAAGTATCATTAAAGGGACCTGAATCGTCTTTTCACCAGAAAACATCAGATGCGGATTCTGCCTAAGCAAAACCAATGGCTGGAAAAGTCGCCAGAAACTACAAATCTATGCCGCAGAATCTCGACGAATCAACTATGGCAACAAGCGTCAACTGGTAAGAGCCAGGATGATGATGATTCTTCGGTTAAGGAGCTTCAACAGGGACAAAAACTTCACCAAAAGAATTGTGTCAAATTGACGACGGCACATGGCGAAGGAGAAAGAGACATCGTGGATATCTGTAATTTAAATTGATAGATTAGTAAGTTCTTTGAAAGTTTGATTCATCACCATTGTTTAGTCCATTTTAAATACAATGTAGATGAAAACGGTGAAGAAGATAGAAGTGGAAAAGTCTAATAATTGATTACATTCAACTTCGTAATTTAATTATACAAATTTTGCAGAAGAGGAGACGAAGAGATATGGTGAAATAATGTTATCTATTAACCGTAAAGGGTAATCCCCTATATATTATTTGAGAATCATTTAAAAAGTTGTAACCTTAAGTTTGTAAGAATTAAAAATAACTCCAATCCTACATGGTATAGCTCTTTGGCTTCTATTTCAAATTCCAAGGATTCTAGAGCATGTGATATAATATATAGTTTAAAAATTATATTCTCTAGCAATATAATATATTTCGTAGGTTATAGTTGGTCGCATATATCAAATATTTATTGTCTCGCATGCTTTCCTTAAATAAAACCTACGGAATTACCTAATGTAATTAAAATATATATATGAAAATTAATGATTTTAAACAATAAAGATTTGATAACAATCTGTATACTTTTTTATTTTGGTTATTTCTTTATTATTAAAATAAATTACACAATTACATTAATCATATAATAAAAATCTAGATTTTTTTTTTGTGTATGTTGTATTTCGAATTTTTCAAAATGAGTATAAATTACTAAAACTGTTAAAAGTCCCACATAAACTTTTAAGATCAAGGTTTTAATTTTTTTTCTATACTAAAATATAATGATTATAAGACCATATGAAGAAATAATTTTAGTTTATATATATATTTCATATCATTTTAATTAAACTATACATCGTATGAAAATACATACTTATATTTTGATATTTGCTTTGAACATATATTGAAAATTTAATATTTTAATTTTGAAATATGTCATTGTTTTTTTTAATGATTATAAACTATTGAAACTACTAAACATCTCACATTAAAAAAAATTCGTTGGTGTAAAGTTTTGTTACACAAATATGTAAATAATCATAGAATCATATGAGTAGAAACCTCATTTAATAAATATCCATATTAAAAGTGTGCTATATTACTATGTTTATATCATTTAAATTTAATTATATATCATATACAATATATACGATTGATTATTTGATTTATTTACCCTAATTGTGAATAAACAAGAATAATAGTTAAATTTATATGCATACGCCAATTTATTACATAATAGTAACTGATTTCTTAGTTATTTAATATATATATATTTATTATTTTATTATTTATAATATGCAGAAAATATAAAATAAATAATAAATATAAAATACTTATTGTGCATAAAGTGCAGATCTTAACCTAAGTATGTATCTGTTTAATTATTTTAAATTCTAAATATTTTCTAAGTTTCAAGTCAAAACAAACAAACGAAATGAGAATAAAATTCAAAATAAATATTTATATCGAGTAATAACCAAAATATAAAAAAAACATAGCAAGAGAGAAATGGAAGATAAATAGGATTGACACGTGAACGTAAACTTCTCATAAGCATAATTAATTGTAAATTGTTAAATCATAATATAAAACTGAGTTAATTTTTAATTTGTTAACTTTTTTTTTTAAATTTTTTAAATCATTATGGTTATGTTAAATCATGACCATAATTAATTTTAAATTGTTTATTTGTATTTGAAAAACTTAAAATATTGTTTTTAAAAATAATTTAAAATTTAACATAATTTTTTAGAAAATTATTTTTAAAAAAATATAATTTGTAAAAAATATAATTATCTAATATTATTAGACAAATAAATAAATTATATTAAATTAGTTTAGAAACTTTATATATTTTAAATGCAAATATTTTACCAATTGCTTCTTAAAAAACATTAGGGAACTTGCTATACTCTAGCAATCAAGCTCAGTGACACTCTATTTATTTTCCATCACTCGAACACTGAAAAGTAAAAAGATATATGAAATGAGATCCATTAAATTCTAAGATTTAATCTACATTTCTAATTAAAATTGTTTCTGATCCTACATATAGATAATTATATAAAAATTCCAAAATTTCAAATACATACAAAAACAATCATATGTAAATTTTAAATTTGTCAATACTAAAATTTTATATTTTAATTACATCTATTCATCCTGCGCAAGGCGCAGGTCTTATCCTAGTTGATCATTATAAGTGACATACTAATTTTATAGACACATGGCTAAATATGAATGGAAGTTTTTCAAAGTACGTGGCATAACTAGAATTTGAGCATATCCAGTTTTTAGTATTGTTAGATGTTAGGTAAGTAATCATGAAGTGTTAATGAAATCTTTATTTTAAGCCGTAGAATGCGAAACAACTAAAAACACTAAAATCATTTGATGCACAACAGTTTAAAATTTATAGTAAGTTAAATTAGCTATTTAATTCTGAAATTATAGACAAATAAAAGTATGAATCAACTATAGTAATTTATAATATATTTTATATTTTTACATATGTATTTTAAATATTTAATTTTGGAATGTATTGTAAACATGTATTTACTTTTAATATATTTTTATGGTTAATTGTTGTATCCCTTTCAATAGCCTTGTTTGAATACATCACTTTTATAATATGTGGCATTGGTTACAAAAACATTTGACAAAAATAATAATTTATTCTAATTTAAAACTATAACTTGATCAAATAAAATTTAGAAACCGTTGACTGATCATAGCATGGGAGGAATACTAATACTATACAAACTCTTACGTCCGTGTTTTTCTTGGAGAAATTGTCTTTTTAGATCAAAAAATGGTAACTATATTTCATTAGACTAATTTGTATTTTGTACCATTTTTACTTCTAATGTCTTTTAGTATTTTCCAAAATAAATTATATAAATAGTTTTATAAACAAAAAATATTAAAAATAATAACTACTGATCAAATATCTATATCAATTTAGTGGTATTGTTTTTCAAGTTCTAAAAATGTCTAAATCATAATTGACATTCTACGAAGTAGAAAATAAAATCCATTTTTTTATTGAATCTAATACATTCTTTTTTTTTTTGTCATCAAGATAATACAGACTCATGACGTCTCTGCAAACCAAACTGGGAGCTCTAAATCCATTTGGACGACGAAAGACGGTTGTTTCCTAGCACTGCATGCAAGGCTATCCGCTCTTGAATTCATCGTACGAGGTACATGGAGAAGCTCGGAGGAGTGAAGACTGCCTTTAAGGGTCTTGATATCTTCTAAATAACTTGCAAAAGCTGGCAATTCTTCTGGTTCCGAACCCATCTTCACTAATTGAGAACAATCTGTTGCAAATGTGACTTGATATTGGCGTAAATTCTTCATGGACTCCATTGCCCATATCAGTGCTTCCACTTCTGAGTGAAGCTGTGAAAGACTAGCATGAATATTACGTGCCCCCATTAGCCCAAAAAACCTTCCATGGTACTATACCAGCCATGTCCTGAACGTGGTTCCTTGTCCTTCCATGATCCATCTACAAAACACCATCTGCCAGAGATATAGGTAATGTTGTGGTATCGTCCCCACCGCTTAGGAGGGTCCTTTGAGTAAGTGTCGTTTGTGCCTCAGCCCATAGTAATGATTATGTTTCCGCAAATTTGAGAGTATCCCTGGGATCAACCTCTTTATTACTAAAAGTTTTATTGTTCCTCCCTCTCTATATGTAGATGATCTTCCATCTGTGGACGCACTCGCCAAAACAGATGATCCATATTCGTGAAGAGTGATTGAGTTGGGAAAATATCTGGATTTTATGGAATTTGAGATAGTATCCAAACTTTCACCGCTGGTGGGCATTCAAAAGAAACATGGTACACTGATTCCTCTGGATCTCCACACCGAGCACAACATACATCACTTTTAATTACTCTATTACTCAAATTTTTCTTTACTACTATGCATCCTGAAATGACTTGCCATAAAAAATGTTTAATCTTCGGTGTGCATCGAAATTTCCAGCATTGTGCCTTGATGACTTCAATCGTAAGTCCAAACATCGTAGGTGGTT